TTTCTTTCTTTCTATATATTTTTTTTCTATTTGTCAAGGATTCTGATTAAACGGGTCCAATCTTTCTCTGAAAATCTCACGCAATAACATTTTTACGTGTGGTGTTTTTTTAAATACATTTTTACATTCCTCGCGCTGTGTGTGGCAGTGTCCGCCTCTCACGCGGCGGTTTAATATTTTATTTTATTTTATTTTTATTTTTTATTTTTTATTTTTTTTTTTGTAATTTTCTTTTTTCCGTTTGATTTTTATTACTATCTTATTTCTTTTTTTGGTTTCTTATTATTTTCGTTTAAGTTGTTCTGACTTTTCTTCTTTCTTTCTTTCTTTCTTTCTTTCTTTCTTTCTTTCTTTCTTTCTCTTTCGATTCTTTTTTTTTTTGTTGATCATCCCGTGTCACCCTCTATCTATTCATTTTATTATTTATAATTATATTTTCATATATATATTTCATGTATATATTTTATTAATATTTTCTATAGAAGAGAGACATCGATCCGAACTCGCGTGTTTCACGCTTTATCTATTTTTCTATCATTCACAAATCTTCATCGTTTAATTTATTTTAAAGATAAATCATTCGTGCACGCAGTTCTAGCACGAAAAAGAGGTTGTGTGTGTTGTTTATCGAACATGGCGCGAAGTTTTCCTTCATTTTCTTCTTCTTCTTCTTCTGCGAGAAGAAAAAGAAGTTTCTAAGATTCGGATTTATTTGTTTATCGTGGGAGAGGGATCGATCATTATTAATTATTATGCCAATCGTGAAGAATAGTTTATTTTTTTTCTTTTAATTATTATTATTAGTATTAATATTATTATTATTATTATTATTATTATTTTTGTTATTATTAATATTATTATTCTTATTATTATTATTATTTTTATTATTATTATTCTTACTATTTTTATAATTATTATTATTATTATTATTATTATTATTATTATTATTATTATTATTATTATTATTATTATTATTATTATTATTATTATTGTTTGTTGTTGTCGTTCTACTTTCGAAAAAGATGTAACTTCACACATCCTTTCGTTTTTCCAGCTCCGTTGTGTGTTCATATTTTTTGTTTCTTTGTTGCAAGTATTTTTTTATATTAAATTTTCTGTTTAAGTTTGTTTATTTTTGTTTTTTTTTTGTTTTTGTAATTCTCATCCTTAAGCGAATATCATTCATTTTCTTTTCTATCCTTTTTGTTGTTTTTTTTTTGTTCAAATTTTAATTTTAATTTTAATTTTAATTTTAATTTTAATTTTAAATCGTTTAACGTCGACAGGTATTATCTTGAAAATAGTAAAATACGATATATAGACACGTGCGTATTGTATTTTTACGACGATGATGCGCATTTCAATGTGATTTCTATCTTACATACTCATTTCTTATTTCTTTACTTTTTTTTTCATTCTTTTCATTTCTCTTTTATAGAAGACATTTTATCTTCGTCGAAAAAATTTTCTATTTGAATTTCTTTCACCGTTCTATGTATGGAAATCTGATCTTTCATATATTTTCTGTTCGATTGCATTACACTATTTATTTATTATTTAATATCATTAATATTATTATTATTATTATTATTTATTATTATTATTATTTATTATTATGCATGCTCTTAGTGTTTTTTTGCTCGTTCTTTCTTTTCTTTTTTGTTTTTTTTTCCTTTGAAAAAAATAAATTTTGACAAAAATGTTTTCTTACATACACAACAGAATCATTATACATTCCATTTTTCTTACGCGTTTTCTTTCTCAGTTATGTCACTTTCATTCTTATTTCATTAACATTCTTTCTCTCTGTTTTATACATACACACACACTGTTTCTTTCGCTCTTGTTCATTTTTGTATTTTTTTCAAATAAATTTCGCACATCAAAGCGCGCGCGTGTTGTCTCTCGTTCGTTACTACACGTCACAGGAATTATAACGTAGTGTTTTCGTATTATTATTATTATTATTATTATTATTATTATTATTATTATTATTATTATTATTATTATTATCATTATTATCATTATTATTTTTTTGTGTTTTTTTTTCTCTTTCTTTTCGTTAAAACTTGCGTGGTACTTACTACAGAATACAACTGCGTACAATCAGTTATAATAGCATAGATTTACAGTGTTACAACATCGAGAATTCTTAGTGTACTTTGTATTTTTATGACAACGCGTGTGTAAATCTGTTTCTTTCTTTTTTTCTTTCTCTCTCGAGTATGTGTGTAGCTCTCTTTTCTCTTTTTTATTCTTTATTGTTTAAAATTTCAATAATTTTTTTCTTTTTTTTTGTTGCTTTTTTCTTATTTATTTGTGTATTTTTAATTTATTATTTGTTCCATAAAATTGGACTTTCTTGAAACAAATTAAACTTGTGCGTGGACTCGAGAGAACTGCGTTCTTCAATCTTTGTTAATGTTTAAAATTATATAGGTTTTGATCACGATGTTTCGAACGTCCGCCATTATAAAACGGTCACGTGATTACTTCTAAAACAAAATAGCTCCTTACTGACGGCCATCTTCATTCGTTTCGTGTTTTTTCCCATTACTTTAGTTCCTTATTCCCAGTATATGTTATATATTTTTTTGTAGATCTTTAATCTACCTGAATGATCGAGCATCCTTGCAATACCAATACCTGTGTCTCTCTTCCTCTCTCTGCCTTATTATACCCGCATAGTAACTTTGAAAGAAACGCCTAGAGGAGCCTGCGTGCGTCATCGAGTTCCAAACCTTTGCCCCTTATTATTTATCTTTTTTATTTTTCTAAGTTCATTTTCAACATTTGTTCGTAGCCTTAAGAGAAAACAAAACAAAGAAAAAAAGAATAGGAAACAAAAGTATATATATAAAAAGAAGAAAATCCATTTAGAGAAATATGTATGATAATTCCTTTATACGTTTTGTTTTTCTCCCACTGATTCCACCCTTCCCTATTTACATAAACTTATATCTTTTTCATTCCTTATTATTAATCACGGATCATTTATTTTTCACACATTCTCTCTCTCTCTCTCTCTCTCTCTCTTACTCTTTCATTCTTTCTCTTCCATCTATCAAACTTTCTCTCTCTCTTTCTCTCTCGCACTCTTTCTCTCATCGCCTAATAATATAACGTTACATGATCTCCCTTCCCCTCCCTTGGATTTATAATTATTTTACGACGTTTTTGTTGATTTTATTAAAAAATTAAAACGGACGGTTAAATTTCATGTTCTCGTTTGTCGGTGAGCCGATGTCCGCGCTGCTGAAGGCACAAGGCTTTGCACTTGACTCGGTCACCTATCCTAGCTTGACTGATTTACTACAACCTACTACCAACTAGCCTCACTTACGTACTTACTTCCTACAGTGTCTACTAAATTTTTCGTCGGTCTTTCACCTCCTCCTCATCTCCTTTCCACCTTTTCCTTCTCCCTCTACTTCTTTCTCCTTTCCTCCTTCTATATCAATTCAACACTTCTTTCCCCCTTTCCTTTTTTGTTCACGTATTATTATTCCGTTTATGGCTTCTCGATTCTCCTCTATCAAATCTTTTCGAATGTTGTCATTTTTATCACATAGATTCATTCTCACCCTCACCACCCTATTTCACTCTTTCTTTCAATATTTATTCTTCAATCTCTCTCACTCTCTCCCGTCCTCTCGATCACTCCCTATTCATATTCATTCATTTACCACCCACCTTATTACTCTCCTATTATCTTTCTATCTTATTACTATCTTTCCCAGATTTATTTGCTGTTTGTTGTTGTTTAGTGCTGTTATTGTTGCTTCGTACAAACAGCATAGATGCTAGCAATATATTATGCTATGTGTGTGATATAGACTCTATGGTATTATTATGTATATCGTATTTTTATATTCACGCTGAATTCACGTAAACGGCCATGGCGACGCTGCTCAACAGCGGCCCGAAATACCGTATACACACACACACACTGAATTTTCTACCCCTTTTCTTCTTATTCTTCGCTTTTTTTCCTTCTTCTTATTTATTCGTCTCCGGCACGGCAAAATTCAACACCCCCCGCTCCTTCAATACCTTTTCTTTACCTTTCTTTCATTCTTTCTTTCTCTCCCACTTTCTCACTTTTTTATATTTCTTTAAAATGTGCACGTAAAGATCAGGCACATTCACGCATGCATGCACGCACAAAATACGCTTAACAGAGAACACGCACGCGGAAATACAGACGCGTAAAAGTACACAAACCGTGTTTTTGTATTATTTTGCTTTCTCTCTAAATCGAAATTCACTCATTCATTCACTCACTCATTTTCTCTCTCTCTCTCTCTCTTTCTCTCTCTCTCTCTCTCTCTCTTTCTGATCAACATACTTTAATCCATTGTAATTATCAGCATTGCCATTAGGATCATCATCGTGATCAGCTCTCTCTCTTTCTCTATTACTTTGTTCTCTCACTAAAACAACATTTCGCGCCCTATTTATCATGCCTTATACATATACAATTACATTTACATATCGATTTCAAGGGGTAGTCAGGTAGGAGATATAGTAATAATATAACTGTAGGTAGTTCCTTATATAGTCTCTGTACTGTCTCTACGTATCACAGCCTGGGTGCCTCGCCACTGCCTTGTGTTCTTCTTCGAAACCAAAGACACCTCGTGGTTTCAATCCCTTTTTTTCTTATTTTTTGTTTCGTTACCATTTTCCTTTCTTCTTGCTTCCATTTTTTTTCGTTTTTTTTTTCCGTTTTTTTTTCTTTTTCTTTTTCTTTTGTTGAAAGAAGTATATATATATAATCTGATTTCTACTATCATCACTTTTATCTTCTTATCTCTCGAACGACACGATATTATTCCCCATATACGTACGAAGATTCCGTCAATTGTGATCGATCGATAACAACGATCGATCCTATTATTATTATTATTATTATTATTATTATTATTATTATTATTATTATTTATTTATTTATTTATTTATTATTATCGACGAACAAAGCAAATGTTATTTTGTTTGTAGTTTTTTTTGTATAACGAATAAACAGGCAAAAGAAGCCCACGAAGAAGTCGAATCGTGAAATGCCTGAGAGAGGCAGTGGCATAGTGGTGCACACTAGTACAGGAGTCGAGCACATCGTTCTTACAATTTATTTCTTCATCATTATCATCATCTTCTTTTTCACGATTTTTTTTCGATTCTTTATCCTTTTCCTTCTCTCTCTCTCTCTCTCTCTTTCATTCTTCTTCTTCTTCTTCTAATCCTTTCGTTAAGCTAACAGCTTTATCTTTCATTTGCTTGCTCGCTCGTCCTCGTCCTCTTCGTCGCGTGATGCGCGAGCCACAAGATTCGAATAAAACAAACACATTCAGCCGACCGGTGCTAAGACCGGTGATCGGCAATCGGGAAACTAGGTCCCAACGTCCCAGATCTCGGCGAGGAAAAGTGGCAGCTTTTTGTTCTTGAACTTTAGACTGTAGCACATCTCGTTGTTTTGGTTGCCGAGGGTCCTTAATTCTGTCAATACTGACAACAACTTGGCGAATATTATTCCTGACTTCGGTTTACGACGATTGTCGACGTACGCTTTAAGCGCCTCCAAATATATTTCTTGAATTTTTTCAACCTTCACGCTTTCTATCAGGTTTGGCCTCTCTATAAAAATAACAAACAAACAATATGTTTCAATAATATAAATCCTATATTGTCATCTAATCATCAGGGACAAAGATAAAGGGTTGAGCATATCCAAAATGGACCAATTTTCTTTCTTCTGTCTATGTTCTCTCTTTCTCTCTCTCTCTCTCTCTCTCTCTCTCTCTCACTCTCTATCTATCTATCTACATTCAACAGAATCCAAAGGTATTTATATAAGCCGATCGATAAATCAAGGCGAGACGGGTAGAAGTTACGTTCGATACGTTATCTAGCAACGTGAAGGATGGGATTGGCCCCGGTAATGCTTCCATCAGTTTCGATCGATTTACTAGTAGTAATACCTTACTATTTATTCGTTATACAAAGTTCTCTGATATGCAGTTCCCTTTATCTTCCTTTGAGAAATTCATCGATCAACCCACTTATTTTTAAATATATATATACATATATTTATTTATAGTATTTAAACTGATTCGTGCCACATTTACAGATTTGAAAAATGACTTAAATCTACCAAAAAATATATCAATAATTTATACAGATTATTACTAATTATTCATTTTGTTTTCATTTGTGGATATTGATTTAAAAGAAAGAAATATTGTTAATTGAATGTATTTTTACCTGAAAATATGACGATGGCCGTAAGTAGCGCGTATTCAGCGTTGTTGACTTTCATTGCGTACATTTGCCGGCAAAAACGTAAAAGATCCTCAATGGTTTCACCCATACCAGCTACGTTATAACTGTCGCGCGTGTATGGTTGATTATTCGCAAATATTATACTGTCCGTTTGTACATCGTATTTCCTTGCCATTCTCAGCATCATAACCTCGCTCGAACATGCCTTTAACAATGCGATTTGATCCTCCCGCATCAACTTGTCGAAACCGGGCAACCTTTTCGCAAATTCTACAATTAACTGGACCGTAAATATCGTGATCTCTGTGATGTGCCTGAACCTATAATCGCTGGGGTTCTCTCCTTCCGTTGGTTGATGCTAAATCAAATTTATTTATATCATTTTTTTCGATCAATTTCATATGGATAAATATATACATTTACACAGGATGATTCAGTAACTCTTGCTACCTAAATAGCTCCGAAAATATGATAATAACAGAAAAGTGAATAAGGAAAAAGTTGCATGAAAAATTCAGGACTATACTAACTACTAAGTATTTTTTTTGTTAAGTTGAGTTATTTTAGAGATTTATTGGCCAACTTTGTTTTTTTAAATACAATGCTATATTTTAATATTTATTTTCTCATAACGTCTGTCAAGACGAATCTAATGATTTGTAACAATAAAATTTTTGAAGGTCAACGAAGGTAAAATCTGGCGAACAAGTTGACCACAATGCAACCATTCAGCGTTAATGGTGGCGTTATGTTATGTATAGTGTTATGGTAGCCCCGGTATGGCACTATGGTGGCATTAAAATGACGGTAAGGCGGGGTTAAGGCAGGATTAAAGCGGCGTTAAGATGGCGTTATGGTGGTGTTCTACCCTTTAGTTGTTCAATAGATATTTTCCGAATAGTTTTTATTAGTTATTGTCAGGTTTTGTATTTAATGTTGCACATCATTAGATTCGTCTTGAAAGCCATAATCAGAAAATAAGTATTAAAATATAGCATTGTATTAAAAAAAGAAACCAAAGTTGACTAATAAATCTCGAAAGATACTATATCTAGCAAAAAAACTAACTATATTATAGTCCTGAATTTTTAATGCAACTTTTTATTAATAAACTTTTTCGCTACCATCATATTTTCGAAGCTATTTAGGTAGCAAGAGTTACTGAATCACCCTGTATATCAAATTATTAAACACGTTTACTGCTATCAATGATCAATTGTTATACCCAAACTTATCAATCACCCCTTCCCCCTCATTAATAAGAATTTAAATAAATATAATTTGAAGAAGATTTTATTTAAACGATGACAAAAAAGGAAGCTTTTAGTTTTTATTGTTTGTTAGCTTTTGAATTCATTTATTATTTATCTATTATTATTATTTGATGTAATTTTAAAATTGTAATACCCTACTACGGCCAGATGTAAAAATAGAAAAAAAAGAAAAACTTACGTGACAGTGAAAGTGTTTATAATTTTGATTAGAATCAAAAATAAATGATTAGCAATTCTTACCGTGATCTTTTTGAGATCGTCCTCACTGGGTTGCTCGTATTCATTTTGGAAATAAACGAGCCTGTGTATCAGCTCCTCCTGTTCGGGGCTGATGGGTTTGACGCTGCTATAAGGGCTTACTGGGTTTATAAGTCCTCCGCTACTAGCTTGTCCAGATGAGGACAATGACTCTGTTTCTGCAGGTTCGATCTTTACGCCTACTGGATCACAAGTTTTGAAGCCACATGGGGAACCGTTCATCGTTGTACTATTCGGCTTGTCCTTTTCCTATTCGAATCAAATAAGACAAATGGAAACTTGCTAGGTTAAGATCGAAAAGTTAAGATAAGGCTGGCCTTATGTCCGAATAATAATAATAATAATGTAAACAATAATCATTTGGGTCAAGTCATGCAAAAACTTACTAACCTTCAAAATGGAAAATTAAGAATCAATAAAACAATTTTTATAGAATAAAATTATAAAAAGTACCAATGCAATAATTAAAAGTTTTAAATTTAGAAACCTATAAAAAATTAAATAAATAATATGAATTATACTAATAACTATTGAATAAGTAATTAGCAATATATATATATATATATATATATATATAATAAAACAAGAAAGAAAAAAAACATAATCTGTAACAGAAATACAGGTACTTTTATTTTTTTTTATAATTACATTTACTCATTCTCGGATCTCATTGATAATTGATAATTTTGTTGACATAACATAGACCCAGTTTTTATTATCTCATAGAATTAATCAATCAATTAATTAATTAATAAAAGATATTGAAATTCGGACCTTTACCAAGTTTGCAATAATTCCGGCCAATAAACCTGTCAATATCGTAATAGGACGAAAATCTTACCCCTACCTTCTGAGCCTTCTTTTCCTTGCGTTTGACCGCACATTGATATTCAGGAACAACGCATTCCGGCCTCATGCCAACCGTAAGACACTTCTTGAGCCTGCATTCTTGACACTTACGTCGCATATACATGTCAATTTCGCAATTGTTCCCATATTTGCACTGATAAACCGCATTTTTCGTGATACTGCGCCTAAAGAACCCTTTACAACCTTCACACGTAAGTGCATTGTAATGATAACCAGAAGCCCGATCACCACAAACCAAACAGAGTTCTTCTTGTTGTCTTGGCGTTGGACCTTTCTTTTTCCTTGCATCGCATCCATCGTTACCACTACTACTACCAACGGTACCTCCTCCACCACCTCCACCGCCTCCTCCGGCACCTCCTCCGCCACCGCCACCGCCACCATTACCACCACCACCACCACCACTTCCGTAACCGTTAAGCGAACCGGGCTGCGAGAGCTCATCCCTGCCTGAAATCAAAGATTATATTGTTAATTGTCATTAATTTGTAACATAATCTTATATACTTATATATATATACATTTTAACATATACTTTTTGTATCAAACTAATCGTAAACGCATAATTATTCGTTCAAAGTATCGAATTAATTGAAAGAAAAATCAGGACAACTATTTCATTCCTATTCCATAGTAATTTTCATTGAAAACGAGGTTATTATCTTGTAAATACCACGTATCGATACCCTCATTAGCTCGTAAATCTATTCAAACATCTTTATTTAGAATTGATGGACTACTTTTCTGATACATAAACGCAATTTTTTTTTTTTAAAGCTACGTTGTTTTAAGTAGACAACGAGCGCGTTGTTATTGAAACTTTAACACGCAATGAGAAAGGAAGAAAGGATCAAAGATCATGATCAAGACATCGAAAGTTATGCGTCTGAAAACAGAGAGAGCGAGAGAGACTCACAAGTGTGCAATGAAGTATGTAAGTACTACTAACGTTAATACAAATTTTGCAATCACAGCTAACACTGGATCGTGAGATTTCCGGTTATTACGAGGATACATTACACTACATTAAACACGAGCGTACGTATAGTACACGTACATTTTAAAAAAGGTTAGACGGATTAAGTATATGTATATATATGAGGAAAATGCTTTAAACGTAGTTGCAACTAGGTACTAACGCGTTTCCCGCGTTCGGTAAGAACGATTCTTCTTGGTTGGGCTGAATCGTGGCGTGAGTGTGGGTTCCAGTAACCTACGTGGCGACATCGCGCGCGCGCGCGTCACGCGTTTCTATTACCCCTTTTATCTGTGAAACTCGCCGAGTGGAACGCGCAAGCAATAGAAGTCACGGTCGGTGAAAGTACGGGGCCCACAGAGAATGTGTATATGCATATGTATATATACATATGTGTGTGTGTGCATGTTTGCTGTTTCCGTCTTCCTCTAACGACTTTGTATGAAGTGAGTGAGAGAGATAGATACATAGCAACAGGTAGTAGTAGTAGATAAAATAGACTATGACTGAGAAACCTCTATCCTATCCATGTGTATCTGTGCTAAACATCAGGATGATAACCAGGTCCGGATCGAGGACGTGAAGGGGCCCCTTTCCTATTTGCCTGTTTAACTCTTTTTATATCTTTCTTGGTTATAGTATCTTCTTTTGATGCATGTGATACACGGTTGTCTCTCCCCCTCATTCTCCTAATCCATCTCTTTCTTCTTCTTTTCTACTTCATCCCCCTTCTCTTCCTTCTCTTCCTCCTTCTCCTCATCTTCCTTCTCCTCGCGATTTAAGAAGGAACGCGCGTCCTTGTAAAGAGCTTCGAGCGAATCGCGTACCTTGCTCCGTTTTACCACACAGTGCTCGATGGTTGGAATAGGATAACAGTCATTCTCAACTTCAAAAATTCTGACTTTTTGTCAATATTAATATTAACAATTTGATTAGAATTTTGTAAACCATCGATTTTTCGTTTATAGAAGGAAAGAAATGAAAAAAGTCAACAAGAACTGTTCAATAGAAGATTTTTTCTACAGAAAAATATTTTTTTGTTTTACGAATGTTTTTTCTTTTTTTTAATTTTTATTAAATACCAACATATGAGAATAACAAAAGTATGAATGAAGAGTAATAGGAATTTCAAATGTAATAGAAAAATAGAATTAACAAAAAAAGGAATAAGGTATGCTAGATGATGAAAATTAGAACAATGTTAGAGAAAGTATGATCATAAACGGTGGAAATCAAACAGTTTGCAGTATCGAAGAGACGAGGACGAGAAGTATGATAACCGAGTGACCACTTGGCCCGGTCAGTGTTTCAGTATTCCAAGTCAATGTTTTCAAAGCGGTCAGTAACTTTCCTTCGATTCTAGAGGCCGCAACACGCGGCCGTATATCTCTTTCTCTCTCTCTCTCTCCTTCTCCCTCCTTTACTCTTTCCCTCTTTCCCTGTTTTTTGCTGATGCGGAACACCGAAGATGCAAGAGAGAAAGAGAGAGAGAGAAAAGAACGGAGCGTAAAAGAGGTTCTCAACTAAGTTAAATCGTACATCAAAATTATGCACTTTTCGAAAGATGATTTAATATTGTACTATCGTGAAAATATTCTTCGTTATGATTTTTAATTGGTATTAAAAATGCTTGTCTCTAATTTATAAACAATTGTATAGGAAATTCTACTACGTTACTAATACTAAACCAACACATCGATTAACTTGTTAACGTAAGAGATTAAAAAATTTTCAAACATAAGTTAAATACCTTAATAAGTGCATTTTAAACATTGAAATTATTTCAAGGAGGATACACAATAGTCTTATGTATAACTGTATAAATAACAATTTTACATCTCATTTAAAGAAGCAATAAGAGAGTTTATCATCATTAATTAAAGGAAAACTTCAACCAAAAAAATTGAAAAAGAATATTTGTATGAGTTGTATCTAATTATTTAAATTCTTCTTCGATTATCCCATATTAAAAAACTCTTCTTTCCATCTACATCATCTTTTAATATTTTTATTTAAAAAAAGAAATAAAAAAATAAGTTTAAAAATAGACTACAATTCTAAGTTCAAATATAAAAACGTATAAAAATTCCCTAAAAATGTTTTTACTTTTCTAGCTGATAAATCCCCGTCCGGTTGACAAGGAAGTAGGTCACCTGAGTTACGTAAAAAGAAACGGAAAAGAAAAAAAAATACAAGGTAGGCTTTTTTTAAAAGGAAACGGAGAGAAAGAAAAAAGAAAGAAAAAAAGACACTTTCGATGTTAAAAAGATCATTTTTCTCTTAGAAGAGGGGGAAAAGAGAGAGAGAGAGAAAGAGAGAAAAAAAGAGAAAGAGAAAATGAAAAAAAAAAATGAAATGAAAAAGTTCGTGTTTAAAGTGTTTATTAGTAGCCTACATATGTAAGGCTTGAGTTTTCTTCTAGTGTTCGTTGTATTCTTCTTCTTCTTCTTCTTCTTCATCGTCGTCGTCGTCGTCGTCATCGTCGTTGTCGTTCCCAGTTCCCAGTTCCCACTAGGGGCTTGCACTCTTCTCTTCGCAAGGTTTCCGTGCTGGTTAGTAGCTCTCTCACGGCGGAGCACTGAGCGGCCTTGACTCTGAGCTCGGCTCTCTTGCAGGGACGCTCTCTCTCTCTCTCTGTTTTTTTTCCTCTATGTAGAGAGCGATCAGCTATATATATATATAGCTATATGCATTAGTATGTGCGTTTATGTATCTATGTGTTTACCGGTCCATGTAGCATACTACATCAATGTGTGTACACGTGTGTAAGCGGCCTTCTCTTTCGCTTCACCTACTACACACACATATATACACTTAACACACATACACAGATAGCGTATCGCGTATAGACGTAGAATTCTTCTTATCTTCTTTTCTTCTTTCTTTCGCTCTCTTTTTTCCTCTCTTTCTTTTCTACTCTATTTCCTCTAATTCAATATTTGTTATTATCCTTTTTCGTTCTTTATCTTAATTCGACCAATATTCTTTCATCTTATTATCGTTTTTCACAATTATTATTTTTTAGTGAAGAATATTATGTTGGACTTTTTTTGTTCTGCTTTTTTTTTTGTTTTTTTTTCTTTCTTTTTTCTATCGAAGTAAAAAACAAACGTTAAAGATTCAAGGTTAAATAGCAAGTTCCATGTAAAAAAGGAGAAAAAGATAGAAGAGGAATAGAGGATGACGACCTCGACGTGCTTCGACAAAGTTGATACGGTCGAATACGAAAGTATAATAGTTGAAAAAATAGGTATGTATATATGTATGTGTATAAGTGTATTTTCGTAGGTGGACGAACGAGGCTTATGTATTTTTAAAGATTACATATGTATATATCGAATAGTTTCTTTATTTCTTCTTTTTGATCATAGAGAGTTACCTTCAACAAACGTGCGCCATCTTTTAGCTTGGGTGCTTTAAACCGAGAGAGATGCCATATTGAAAATATATGATTTATCGTATTTAATAAATTTTTCTTTCTTTCTTTCTTTTTAATCGATTAATTATTTTCACTTAACGATAATAAAAAGGAAATTCTCTACGATATATAATTAAGAGTTCAATAAAATTTTAAATTTATTTTATCTTTTGTATTTTCCAAAATCTATGAAAATTTTTTTTAGGAGATTTTATAAGTTAGGTTAAACTATTAGGTCAGATTAAAAATTAATTTTGAGTCTTTAAAATTTAAAATCGTGCTCAAACACACACGCGAACACATAGAATACACTTCGTCAATGTCTCGAAGCCTCAAATGCTATTCAACTTTATTGTCATCATGTGAACGTACGCGGAAACGCGTTTCAAACGTCCCTCTTCGTCTGTCCACTTATACGCTGTTTGCTTTTTAAAATTCTGTCGTAACTATTTATTATAATGCGGTTAGAATTTCATGTTTTCCACGTGTCGCCTTTAACGATGTCACCAGAAAATTATGTCAGGGGACTTTGAACAAAAAAGTATATATGCAATTATACCATATTTGCATACACATAACATCATTGACAATCTTGTGAATGGATGAAAGCAAAAAATAATTACTTGTAATTAACTCAATTGACAACATGCATATATATATATATATATATACACACATTTTGTATATTTTACTTTCACTTGGTGAAAATACAATACACACGTGTTTGCACATATGTAAAAAAAAAAAAGTATTTTAATTAATATTTAACAGAAACGATCAGTGCTTGTATTTTTTAAAGTTATAAAATATTGTTGATTCTTAATTCACGTCGTCCATTAACTAAATCCCAAAGCAAAATAACTGTATCGTTGTTACGTAAGGTCAGGATGTTAAAAGCAACAACTCATTTAATCTTTGTCGCGAATTTCTGCTTCTCTTTTTATTTTATTTTTTCTTTCTCAAAATACCGGGTATTCTTTTTAAACATGAAAGATCACGCTACCAAGTTTACAAAGATCTTCTTGTCTTGCTCTCTCTCTCTCTCTCTCTCTCTCTCTTTCTTTCTTTAAATAAGTCAAACGGATTCAAACTCCGATAGTTGTCACGTGCATGTTTTTAGTGTTTTTAGTTGCACGTTTAAAAATGTTTTAACGATATGTGATGTGTCAACGAATTGTGCAATCGTAGGATATTTCTAAATCTCGTAAAGTAAGTTTATAACGCGGATATGTGAGAAAGAGAAAGAAATAGACAAAGAGAAATAATGTTCGTGCATGCGTGTGTTTATGTTTGTGTGTTAAGATGCTTTGAAACGAGTCAGTCAGTTTCTCTCTTTCTCTCTCTAGTTCTCACTCTTTTCTATTCGGCCGAATACCGTAATGTTTTACGATGCTATCCTTGAGCTCTAGAAACGATAAAAGCGACAGAGACACTGAGAAACGGTTTTGGTCGATTGTTGATAAATTTCTGAATCATGATGAAATTGCCTTTAACAATCAAACAAGAGATCATCGATCGATCATTAAGGTCGCCATTACTTTTCTTTTATTACATACATTCATCAAACAAAATGGTGGAATACGAGAGATCTCCGTCTCTTTATATAACACTCATTTTTTAACTTACGTTTAATTAACATGAAACAATTTCAAAGCAATGAAGTAAACGCGACTACAAATTATTTTTGTGTGTGTACAATATAGGATATATTTATATAAATACTTTTATTAAAAAAAAAAAAAGAAAATGACGAAATTCTAGAAATATCTGCATTTGGTATTACTCATATGATTATTTCTTTATCTCTTTTTCTCTCGTTAACTTACGCTTATGAATGTCACGTAAAAAAAGATATAATAAATAAAAAAAAATATGGAAACAATGTAGTAAATAATTGTAAATATTTTTTTATTTCACTACGTAATATATATATATTACGTATATATATATGTATACTTTCATCAGAAAAATGATATAGAATTCGAGAAATTTCTGTATGCTTTGTACTATATATATGTATATATTCCTACATATAGAATATATCTCTGTCTTTTTCTACGATCTCACACTTATAAACGCCATATAAGAGAAGAACCGCCATTCGGTCGTGTTGTGCGCAGAGTCGTCGTCGGTGATTGTTAGAGCGAGTGTGGAATCTGAGAAGAAATCTGATTGCGCAAGAAAACGAGCAACCGCTCTCGGCCCTGGCCTTGCCGTTGCGGCTTGCTTCGTATATATACATACATATATGTATTTATGTTTGATGCATGTGAGAAGAGAGGGAGAGAGAGATGGTGTGCGTGTGTATGTGTTTGCGCGCGGGAGAGAGCGCGCGTGTACAAGTATGTGCTCACACTCGCTCATTGGCTCTGCTTCTTCGCTCGAGCTGCGAACCGTAAAGAGAGAGGACTCGAATACTGTGTTGTATAAACTGTACCGGATAGAAGAAGGTGAGAAGAATAAAAGTTGAAGATAAGTAGCAAAAAAACAGAGCTATATTCTTTTTAAATGTGGATCAAATAAAAATATTTAAAAGAGATTCTTTTTTTACGCTAATTTCTGCCTCACACGTTTGAATTACATGGTTGTTTTAATTTTTTTTCTTTTCTGTTTTCTAGCAGGTTTATCTTATACATTTATTAAGACTGAAAGATTTGGATTGTTAGGAGAATGTTTATTTATTTTCTTAATAAATAAATACATTTTAAAGTTAAATTCAAATCATTGAACATTGTGTTTTACGTAATGGCTGCAATATGTATGAATTCCGCCATATTGTTTGTGGTTGTTGCAGGTATATTAACGTAGATATGTATGTATATAAAGGCTGAAAGATTTAGACTGTCAAGTATAATAATTTATTTTATAAATAAATGACAGGTTCGATTATGAATAACAGGTAAATTTACATGGACGTTTTTAAGATATAAGCGTATCGGACGTATTAATTGGTAAAAATAATGAGATTACAAGGTAATCAAAATATTCGTTGAACACGTCGAGAGCTCGTGGAATTTACATGTCGATAGAGTAACGGAAAGTGCACATGTAATGTTTCTAAGAATTTAAACTTTTTATAAGTCATAGATTTTTTTGTTTAAAGTTAACCTACTGAAAATATGAAACTTTACAAAAATATATGTAGAGTATTATATGAATATAGAAAAGATTTTATAATAAAAACTTGTTGCATAATTAATCAAAAACAATACATAATTTATTATTCCATCAATGAAAAAATAATTGATTAACAAGAGCTTGATTGAACAGAAGAGACATCTTTAAAAAAATGGCGCCGATTGTATAAAACACGTGTGACATTAGAAAAACACGTTTTTAAAATAAACTTTCCCTTTTGGCTCTAAGATATTATCGTTTTTCTTTTCTCCTGTAGGGTGATTCTCGTGAAAGAAAGAAGGGAAAAAATCGTAAGAAAAAAAAAGAAGGGGAAAAACCTGTTGAATCGCGTGGGAGTAGTAATCGGACAACACGAAGGAGCTTCCGCTTTCAGAACTGCATCGTTAAACCACACAGGCATCTATACTTCCCCTAAATTCCCCTTATTTTTCAGTAGCTCGTTTACCGAGGCACAGATTTTATTTCGACACGGTTTTATATTCGAAAATAAGATAAAATAAAAATAAGAAGAAAGAGAAGAAGAAGAAGAAGAGATGGGAGAGACAAGTCGAGTTTCGTCGATATCGCGTTCAACCGCCTACTAACCCACATTAGATTTCTTCTGAATCGCACGTAGAAAGATATGCGGTTAGTTTTCTAAAGCCTTCGCCATCTTGAAAATCTTGCTAAACGAAAATCACGTATAACGTAAGTAAGAACGTAAAAGATGCATATTCCTGGACCAATGGGAATTGAATTTCTTGGCTTTTTGTTCCAACCAAAAGATTTCCGCCAAGAGATCGGCCAAAATAAACGAAGACTGCTGTGATCTTTAACAAGCAAACTGATGGAAGAGTGAATCGATGAATCTTCTTTGTCGATGATTTTCTTCCAAGGAAAAATAGCAGATTTTTCGAGAACGAAAATGTTTTTCCATTTTCCATCCATCTTTGATAAAAGTAATTGTCTATCTGTCTTTTTTTTAACTATAACTGTCTGTCTGTCCATCCGTCTGTCAGTTAGTAAGTCAGTCCGTCTACCGTGTTAAAGATTTGCCTATTTATTCAACGACGCCGCTGACCAGCTAACCTTCTCGTTCGCGGTCATAGTTTAAACGTTCTAATAAAACAGCAGTCCTATTATTAGTCGCGACACTGACTTGCTACTGCTATTGCCGTTGCTTAATTAAGTAACAAGCCCGCAAATCGGACTCGCGCGTTTATTACCATATATCATACGGTTTATTACCTACCACCACGTCATGAATTATTCTGCTAAAATATTATCCATTTCATTTTTTTCTTAATAAAACAACAAAATTTGATATATCGCAAATTTCGATACTCGTAAATATATAAATATTTACTAATATTCGATCAAAATGTAATTAGGCGAAAGGAATAAAAAAAAAAAAGGGAGAAAAAAAAGTTAAAACAAAGAAGAAATGAGACTTATGCGTTAGATGCTTTTTATTAGATGTCACGTACTATCTACGAAATTTAATTGTCATTAACAATTCTATGCACGTCTTGCGTTCCAACACGCTTACACACATATTTACATATACACAAGGAACACATTTGCGTTCGCACGCGCCTACCCAACGACGCGACCCACTTACTCTGCCGACCATCCGCTCTTGTGTCTTATTCGTTTTCCCCGTGTACATAGAACCGAGCCAAAGAAAAAGAGAAAAAAAAGTCAACAAGAAGAGTTTAGTAGAAGACCAAGGGAGGCAAACAACGAATCCGATAGAAAACTAAACCACTTCGGTATATGTAGTATGCGTTTATGATCTAGGTAATATATATGTGTGGACTACAACTACAACGACGTTCGCGATCCACTTGGCCGGTTAACGAGGAAATCGAGCGACCCTGATGACGACGATGCTTTCTATCACGATCCTCTTCGTTAGAGAACCGTGGAACGAACGCGAGCTTTTACTTACTTACACCACACCAGTGGTTCTTCAATATACAATATTACTCTTTCCTTTTTCTTTTCTTTCAATCGACTAATATAGGATTATCGTATGAAATGAAGAAAAATTTTTAATTAGAATTGTATTATATAGTTCTCAAATTTTCATTTCGAAAAATAATTTTCTTCTTTTTCTTTTGTAGGGAACAAAAGTTGAGAACCACTGAAATTACTATTTTCAACGAAAACAACGAAATACGATTCGAAATCGTTTATATGTTATATAGGTAACTTGCTGAATTGGGCTTTATGGTCGTGTTCTTGGTAAACCAAATCGCGAAACAACCCGCATGGCGTTTACCGATCCGGTGATTGGTCGAGCAAGTGCGTTGAACTGTCTACGATTGCGTCGTACTATATCTCTTTCTCTTTTTCTTTCTCTTTCTCTCTCTTTCATCGACAAGTGTCTCGACGACGATATAATACCGGATCGTTGGTAGTACCGGATCGACCATCCTTCCGCTCGATCGCCCTCTCTCGAGTGAGAGTAACCTACTGACCTCTCTTTTCCCTTACCACACTCTGTCCCCCTTTTTCTCTCTTTTTCTTTCATTCTTTTTCTGCTTTTCTTCCTCGATTCTAACTATGTAATCGGTACAATCGATTTTTATACAATCTAACAGATATACCACTGGATACTTATAATACTGTAATCATTATCTTGAAATTATACGTATTGTAAATAATACAAAAATTGTTCATCTTGAAAAATGAACAAATTTGTCTTACAAGGAGAGTGCAAGGTCTTGCCCTCACAGATTTTGTTCAAATTTTGTAGGATGATAGATTTTGTTTCCCTGTTCACGAATATATATGATTATAAGGGCTATTACTCAATAATTTTTTAGATATTTGCAATTAAAGATGCTAAAGATGCTATTTAGTCCTTAAATTCAGTTCTGTAGCATATGATTGTATGTAATGGGTTTAGTGTAGTGACAACGGTTCGGCATTCCGTGCCGTTAGAAGCCGAGTCGGGTTCGGGTTCGAATCCGGGAAAAGGGGGGGGGGGAGGTCTTTTTTTGTCTATTTTTTCATATAAAGATACCTAATGGAGTTTAAATAAGTTGAAAATGAAATGTCTTTAATGACTAGAAAACTTATGAGTTTTATTTGTCATTATCATTCGTATAAATACAGAATGATATAAAAATAATAAAAAACAATAATAAAATGAAAAATAGTAATAATTTAGGGAAAAAAAAATTACTTGGCATGGATTTGAACCATAACGACCCCGGCTTCTTACATTTCTGGCGACCGAACGAACCGTTGCCGTTATGCCAGACCCAATACTTACAATAGTATATTACAGAAATGAATTTAAGGACTCAATAGCATCTTTAGTATCTTTAATTGCAAATATCTAAAAAAAAATTATTGAGTAGTGGCCCCTATAACCATATATATTCGTGAATAGGGAAGCAAAATCTATCATCCTAAAAAATTTGAACAAAATCCGTGAGGCCAAGACCTTGCACTCTCCTTGTTAGGAAAAATAAAAATAATAAAAAATAAATATAATTTTGAACACACAATGTCAAAAGAATATAACAAGTATCATTTAAAAACTTTCTAAAGGATTTTAGATTACAATCGCTCAGTATCGTTTCTGAAGACTCACTCCAAAAGATATAATACCTCGCGAAGGGAAATACAAGCATGCGTTTTTGTAGTTTGCTTTGTTCGAGGTCAATGATTACATGCACACATATACATAACTATATAAAATATACATTTAAAAAGTATAATGTTCCAGACCGCGAAACAATGATGTATATAACCGTGCTAGACCCCCTTTTTTTATTTTTCCTCTATCTCGACTGGCTTTCATACAATCCCGAGGAGAATCGTTTATGTAGACGGTATTATTCAGTGTCTTTCTCTCTCTCTCTTTTTTTTTTTTACTTGAATAGTAGTATGTCATAAATCTCAAGCTCGATCTCGAACCGTCAAAAAGTTGAGTTTGCCGGCAGACCTTCAACCCTTCCCCTACTATTTCTACTTCTACATCATCACCACCACCGATACCACCTACTCCTTTCACGATGATTTATCACTCGAACAATAGAAAGGAAAAAGAATGTTCTTGTAACGAGAAGCAATAAAGTCGAACTTTATTACCAAACAGATTTTCTCTATCGTTAGACGCCATTTTTATTTTCTAGTATTCTATCTTACTACATTTTGTTTTATTCTTAACAGGTATACCTTATAAAAATCCTAAGTTTTATTAAATAAAAGTCAAGTTCACGTGCGTATAAAATCCGTGAGAAACATTCGATTATTTAATGATTTTTATCAGTAATCTGAGTTCTTCATTTTAGGGTGTTAATATTTTAAACAATTAATTGTAAACTATACGAATTCATAAAACTACTTTTCTTATTAATGTTTACATATTAAAAATGAAGATGTCTGTTATTATGATACATAACATATAATAATAATAAAAGAATCCGGAAAATCAGTATAAAGATAAATCTCAAGTATACTTGCAAACGCAGTAAGTATACTGATAAGTATAAAAGTCCTTTTGAAATGTAACTTTATATGCAACTAATATTACATGTTACTTATGATCTGTCTTTAGATGCAACTAGTATCAGCAAACATGCAACTCAGCGAGATCAACTGCGTTGGGACTTTATTAAAATAATCATGAATGAAAATGTTTGTCATCATGTAGTAATCCAGGAAAAATCAGTGTTTCAATAAATCACAAACATATTTCTTATGATCAAATTCAAATCCTAAAGGATATGCTATTTTATTGTGTGGAGAATCAAAATAATCGTTTCGTGCAAACAAGTAACCTGAAGTAGAACAATTACTTCAGGCTACTATTATAATTATTAAAAATAGAAAAAGGTTTATAATCGCACGTAGTAACGTAATAGGCAAAGAATCCGGAAAATAAGTGTCCAGATAAATCTCAAGAATACTTCCCAAGCAGTATGTATTATATTTATAACGATAAGAGCAAAAAATCTTAACGAAGTGTAACTTTAGATCCCTCGTAGGAAATCCAACTAACAAACGTCAGCAAACAAGCAAGCAGGCAAGCAATGCGTGCTCGCACGTTTAATCGTCGAACCGGTGAGAGTGGCTATAATCTTAGAGAGAGAGAGAAAGAAAGAGAGAGACAGAAATATAGAAACTGTGTAGCGCATTCCCCTTTTTGGTCTCCGCTAAGTTTCGACGTGTCTTTGACTCGATCTAACGGTTCTTTACTTTCGTCCTTGAGCCTCAAAAGAAGAAGAAGAAGAAGAAGGAATAGTAAGTCCCACGCACGTGCCGATATCGGTCTCGGCATCAACATGATTACCAACCGAGCACGATGACCTATTTTGAGTTTTAAACTGGTAACGTGAGTTTGACGCCAAACACATCCGCGTCATCTTCAAATCCTTCCACCAATAATCGTCGATCTAACGGACCGATTCCGATCGTATTTCCTTCGTTTAACTACGTAGAAATAGGTCTCTACGGTATGAGATTGATCTTTTTTTGTTTTTTTTTGTTTCCTTACTCTTTTTTACTTTGTCCATCTTCCTATCCAACATCAGAATCATCCGGGTGAACGGTACTTGCTGTTTACAGATCGATTATCGCGAGTCCTGTTCGCTCGCGCTTGAAAAATCTAACCAGTTCGCTTTATCGTCCTTTTTTTTTTACTCTTTCATCCGTTCTAAAAAACTTCTATTTTCTATATAGTTTATTATTTAAATGAAATTATTTACTTATTGTTTTTTATCGATTATATGAATCCTTTATCCGGTCGTAAGTCACGTAGGAACCCTAGTAGCACAAAATATTGAAAAATATTGAAAAATATTGAATACATATGTATTTTTCAATATTTTGTGCTACTAGAGAAGTAACTTACAAATAAAAATATGTTAATAATAATTTAAATAATTAATAATTTTATATATGTGTTTGTAATACTCTTTAAAAGAAAAATAAATTATTTCTAATAATTAATAAATTATTCTTATAGTAGTGAACAATTTTGTTGTATATTTACCGAAACCACTTACAAATTATGATTAGTGAGAATCATCAATATAAAAATCTAATGATTATAATAATACTTTGAAGAAAATATTATATTTATATTAGTTAACACGATAACGCAAATAGAAAATTGGAATTATTTGTGTAATACGAATGGAAATAATAAATAATAATTTTTTAAAGAAATTTTTTTCTATAAGATAAGATAGATAGAGACAAATGGATGGATTAACAATATTTAAGTAACGACAAAAATATGCGCTCATTTTTTATTAAATAATAAAGAATCGAAATTCGAAAAGAAAATTGTTTCTATGTTAGGTTAGAAAAAACCTTTCATTGTAGTAATTTTTAAAAGAGAAAAAAAATATACGAAAGAAAAAGGGAAAATAACCATGTATGAAAATTACGAGGTCATAGAAAATTACCATAATTTCGTAGAAACAAAAAGATCATATCAATCGTATCGATGTTTCTCCGATCATCGATACCAACTTCGATATACTTATATTATCTATCGAGGCGAATCCGTTCGTTGTAACCGGGAAAGCCGGTATACATAAATATACGCATACACATACACACTTTTCTACATCTATATAAGAACGTCTTTTCACTCGACTCGCTTTCGAGCGGGTTTCCATATAGGCGAGAGAATAGAAAGTTAGACGAAAAGATTCAAGGAAGCACACGATCGACATCCTTCTTTTAATTTAAATCACCTAAATGCGTGTATATTACTATTTTTTAAATGATGTTTAATTTCTAGGTATATGTAACGAATTTTTTTATTAAAAAAAGAAAAAGAATAAAAAGAACATAGAAGCGTACGAAAACAGGGTAAAAGAAAGGAAAAAAAAAGTTAATGAAAATTTATTTTTCATTATCTTTATATATAAAAATTCAGTATCGTATTGTTAGTTTCCAATGAATTTCGAAATGACTTAATCAATCTTAATGAAATTTTTTTTATTTTGTGAAAATGTATTTTGTGTATTATTTATTTTGTATTTATTATATTATATTTAATTTATTATTATATTATTATTGTATTTATTATTTATTATATTGTATATTTATTTGTTTTATTTATTATATATTTATTATTTTGTATTATTTGTATTTATATTGTATATTTTATTGTTGAATTAGGGATTTATTATTTAAAAATTATCTATGTCTTTAGGTACTGGAAGTTTTCAATAGATGACGCTGTATTACAATTCAATTATTTCGATACATTCACGTCATAAGTTTGTTTAGATTTATATATGATATAACTAACCTTACTTTTTATACTTTTTGAGTATTATTATTATATGTATTTCATTGTAATTGTGATATTATTTTTGTGTGTTGTTATAATTTACCAAATAGTTTAGAATTATATTAAATTAATATTTTATAACAAAACCACAGTAACGCGTGGCCGGAGCATTCTAGTTATAATATATATATATATATATATATATATACATAATTTTTATTATTTTATTATATTTTATTAGTTATATCTTGTGAGAAACAAAATTAGAAATAGATATTATGTAGATTGATAAAATAAAAAAAAAACAAACAAAAACAAAAAGACCATGACCTAGTTTTTCGGATCATCGAAACGTAATTGCGAACTAAAGCACAATGTCTCCTGTTTGATTTTTCCATCCTACCTCCCACTTCTCACCTCCCTCATACTCATCACCACTATCATTTCACCTTCCAACTTCTCGCCCTCCCTTTTCCTTCTCCTCTTTTTCTACCACGCCAACAAATTATCGAGAACGTCGCACCGAGAGAGAGAGAAAGAAAGACAGAGAGAGATACTCATGACGCATACCTATTGCGTTATTGTTGTTTAAAAAAGGTGACGCGTTGCAACCTGTTACTGCGAAATGTCTGTGAATATAGCAAAAGAGAATAAAAAAAAACAAAACAAGAAATATATTTTATTCTATTTTTAACTTTTCCATTCTATGTTTTGCGTATGTCGTGTGTTCTAGAAAAAAAATAATATATAGTTTAAATGCTAATTTTTGTTTATTGCAGATAGAAAAAATAATGCGTTAGTTTTTAAATCTATTTTCCGTTATATAGTATAAATTTATTTGATAAAATGTACATGGTATACGTTTTAATGCAGGGTTCTAAAGTAATGTAATTTTTGTATTTATAATCGACATGTTGTACATTTAATTTTGTTATAAATTTCCAAAATAAAAAAAAAATAAAAAAAAAGTAATAGTGGGTATCCTTTTAGTTACATGAAAAATATAAACTCTGTATGGAAAGTTTGGGAATATATGTATGCATGTATGTATATATTTATGCATGCATGTGTGTGCATGTGTTGATTGCATCGCGTGACAAAATTATCCTGATAGTTTCTCCTTAAGGCAGCTGCACATTGCTTGATTCATTCTTATTGCAGCTTTTACAGGGAAAAGGATATATAATTAAGAATCGAAGAGAATAAGAGCAACTTTCCTTTGTCGTTTCGATGATCTCTCGTGATCTTTTCAATTATATTTTACAAAGCAATTTTATCTCTTCACTCTTTCTTTTTTTTCCTTCCCTTTCTTCTTTTCTCTATCTTTTTCTTCATAAGAATTATATTTTTTTATCTTGAAATTTGTAATATAGAAATTATCTTTAACATAGATTATTTTTATAATACATTTGTTTTTATTTTTATTTTTGTTTTTGTTGAGAATATAGAAGCTTCTTCTTCCCCCCTTCCCGTCCAAGAAAATTTCTTCTCTAATCTATAATTATAGTAATAACAATAATATAAAGGGTTGACTAAATAGTTCACAGATGGGTCAAAAGTTCATAGAACCGTTTTAATTTAGTTTTAGAATCCACAAGAAAAAAGTTAAACTTTAAAGGGGCAAGGTTTAACAATTCTGTGTAAAGATAGTAATTGAGATTTTCTTGTTTTGTTTGTAAATCGCTTTAAAAGTTTTTCACCCGTTTTATTTTTATAAATTAAATTCTATTTTTGTAGATTTACTATTTTTATTTTTTTCTAATTATGCAACGACGATTTTCAGTTCTATTGCATGTCACAAAAGTTCAATTACGTTTCACAAGATTCCGATGTAGTCTTTTAAAAGAAATTTTGTTTTTTGAAACACGAAAAAGTAGTAGAAGAAATAGAAGAAGAAGAAGAAGAAGAAGAAGAAGAAGAAGAACGACCTTGACCGAGACGTATTTCGGAAATGGTGTTCGATCGAACTTTAGGATATAAACACGCATATGGTTGGAAAACATCAATGGGTAATATGAAAGGTCATGACCTACATCTTTCCAGTCGATGTGGCTCCTACGTCACCTAAAAATGATTACTGTCCTATCAACGCTATAGTATAAATCTACTAATCGATAGAATTTCTATTTAATTTGTTTTTCTTTTTCTATTAGCATCGCGATCGAAATCGTAATAATTCTATGTAAATTATTTAACTTCGCGACTATAAACAAATATAATTATAGATAAATAGAAATTAAATAATAATTATTTAGAAATAAAAAAAAATAATAAAAATATTATTATTAATTTATAATCACATATCAATTTTATATTGTCTTTATTTATAAAAATTAAGTGCCACATTGTTGATTTACCATAAATTTCAAAACTACTGAACTAATTTTAATTAAATTTTTTTTATTTTATGTGATTTTTTTCAATTTAGTATTTAGTATATATTATATTTTATTGCTAATTTAAGGATTTATTATTTAGAGATTATCAAGGTTTTTAAGTAGTAGAAGTTTTCGATAGATGACGTTGTACTACAAATCAATTATTTGGATATATTCACGTCATACGTTTTTTTCAGATTTATATATGACATAACTAACTTTACTTTTTATATTTTGTCGTGTATTTTATGTATTCTATTTTAATTGCGGTATTATTTTGTGTGTTGTTATAATTTATTAAATGATTTAGAATTATATTAAAAACCAACATTTTATAACAAATAATATATATTTCTATATGTGAAAAATAATTTTTTTTTATCAATCTTTCACTTATATATCGACGAAGTTGATTAAATAATAATTAAAATAAAATGAAATGAAATAAAAGAAAAGAAAAAAGAAAAGGAATATCAATGAAAAATATGTTTTTATTGAACTCTTCATTTCTTTCGTTTTGACGAGAAGGAAATTGAATAATAGTTAGATAGAACAAAAAAGATGAAGTTTTCATTTCAAAAAGTAAAAAATAAAAATGAACATAATTTGTATTTCTCTCTCTCTCTCCCTCTTTCTTTCTCATGTTTCAAATCAATCGGGTCATGTAAGAGCGATACCATTTACGCGTTTCTCTAGAGAAGTCAAGAATTAATTGTTCACTTCGCATTGCACGTTTCTCTGGAAGTCCTTGACAAACCGTTGAGCAAGAGTAAGTCGTGATCAGAGTATTACATCGACAAGAGAATAAATGAGAGAGAAATATAAAGACAGTGATAGACATACTATAATTCAAAACATCATGAACAGACACAATATACGTATAAATACATACAAACGCAATTTTCTCAGTATACGTATTTATTACATGCGTACGAGAAAGAGAAGAAGAGGGAAAGAAAGAGATACTACTACTAACACAATACGAAATAATAAGAGTAACAAACAAACTTACTACATGTACATAAAGCAAAAATTGACCAT